TGGGAACCATCTGTTTGACAGAGGCAGGTAATGGGGGTTGAATTAGATCACTGTAGGAGCACTGAATATTATCATCTTGTAAGATATATATAGATCAAGAGGATTAGCCAAGCAAGCTGAATTATATTTTGTTTTGTTTTTAAAAAGCACTTATATCCAGTTTCCTTATTTGAGTTTGTCTTTCCTGTGTGTATAGAAGTGAGGTTGAGCACACTCACTTTCTATTCTGGAGGTTGAAATTTTGTCGTAGTTATTATTAGTTCAGCATTCCTTCATTTGTTGGAAGTACTTCATTTACAACATAGCCAATTTAATGCAGAATAATAAAATAACAGCTGGAGGGGATTTTGGAGGTCTTCAACTGCCTGGTCAAACAGAAGACCTTATTCCAGGGGTCCTCAAACTTTTTGAACGGGGGGCCGATTCACTGTCCCTCACACTGTTGAGGGTGGGGGGCTGACCGGCTGGGTGGGTGTGGCTTGGTGGTCATGTGATTGGCTGGGTGTGGCCAATTTAGCAGTCCATTTTGCCTTTGTCCTTGCTGTACTTGTTCAACCCAAGGAATCTATTTACCTAAGACCCCCTCTTCCCCTCAAAAAGGGAAAAAGAGCACAACCTTTCTTGCCACTTGCCTAACTTCATTACAACAGCAGCTTCAGGCTCCTTAAAATAGACATTGGAAGCAGGCGGAAGAAAGTGAGAATCATCAGACACACACAAACACACAACTTCCAATGGTGAATTAAGGAGGGAGAATGGTCCTTCAGACTGTTGGGCGCCCGACTTTAATTTGAAAAAAACATGAACAAATGTCTATGAACACTCCACATATTTTCATTTGTAGTGCAAAAATACATGAAATAATACAATATTTAAAATGAAGAACAATTTTAACCAACATAAATATACTACTAATTCAATGGGAAGTGTGGTCCTACTTATTTGGGATTATAAGGCTAAAGGTCTTTTAAGCCTGAAGGAGAATTCACAAATTGATTTGCTTTTTGCCACACTTGTAAATGTGTATATAGACACATGAATATCCACCAAAATCGTTCAGCAACTGATTTGGTGGATGTATTTTATATATGAAGAATCAAAGCAGTGAGCGAATTCTCCTTCAGGCATTATACTGCGGTTGCACTTGAATTAGTGTTAGCCAACTTCAGCTGATTTTGAAAAAGCTAGATGTGGAGACATGTCCTCCCCCCCCCAACACTTTTAAAGTGCTAACTTTAAAAGCAGTTCCTTGCCTACTCACCCACTGGCCCTGGATCACATGGCTGTGAAAATCATCTGAAAGACAGTTTTTAAAGCGTTTTTAAAGACAAGTGGCTATCCAGTCTCTTCTTAAAAATCTCCAGTGATGAAGCCTTCACAACTTCTGAAGGCTAGCTGTTCCACTGATTAATTGTTTTTACTGTCAGAAAATTTCTAGTTAATTCTAGCTTGGTTCTCTCCTTGGTTAGTTTCTAACTATCGCTGCCTTTCTTGCCTTCTGGTGCTTTGGAAAATAGGTTGACCCTCCTCTTCTTTCAGCCAGACCTTCCAATATTGGAAGACTGCTATCATGTCTCCTCTAGTCCTTCTTTCCATTAAACTAGACATACCCAATTCCTGCGACCGTTCTCTGCATGTTTTAGACTCCAGTCCCCTAATGATCTTTGTTGCTCTTCTCTGCATACTTTATAGAATCTCAACACTTTTTTTACATTGTGGCAACCAAAACTGGATGCAATATTCCAAGTGTGGTCTCATCAAGGCATTATAAAGTGGTATTACCACATCACATGATCTTGATTCTAGCTCTCTGTTAGTGCAAACTTGGCAATTACTGCACAAGGCTGCCCCACATTTAAGTGATTGTCTGCCAGGACCCCAAGATCCCTCACACAATTACTATGCATTGAGCGAGTAACCGCAAGAGAGATCTAGCAAAACAGGTTGTAATAAATGGCTCATTATCTTAAAAAGACTTCCTTACAGTTTTATACCAGAAACAAAGGAAATGAACATTTATTTCAACTATGAATGTTAGAGATAACTGCATAAGAGATTTTACAATAATTTCAATTATTCTATTGTGTTCTGCTCAGAAGACAGGGTATCTGTAATAATAATTTCATTTCTGAGTTTAGATTGCCACTATTGATTCAGCTGATATTTCATAGATTGATGGTTCCTATTTCAGAATGGAGATACTGGTTTTTTACATCCCACAAATTAAGGGTTTACTTCAGAATTTGGTAGGAAATCCATGTATCATATTGTTAAACAGCCCAGAATTATTGCTGCCGTATTCAGATTCAAAAGTTGTCAGAATATGATATGAAGCCAAGAACAAGATGACATCATATATTTAATAAGGATTGGTAGTTGCGTTGCTGTTCGGGATAAACATGATTTTACTGAAAGCAGGAAAAATGTTTCTAATAAATTGATTATTTTGAAATACCAGATTGGATAATTGCATAGAAAGAGAGCTTATAGGGGTGCTTGATGTTTTTAACATGGAAAGGGTTTTAATTGGGTGAAAGGAATATTTTTTTTTGTATTGCTCAATTGAATTTACCATATTTTTACCACTATAAAATGCACTAGACTACAAGACACACCTACATTTAGAGGAGAAAAAGAAAAAAAAATTGGCCTCCACGCGTCCCATTTTCTCCCTCCCCGACACCCAGAAGCACTTTGCAGGCCTGTTTTTGGGTTCCTGAATCCTTTGTGCATCCAGTTTTTGGAGAAAATGTGCCTTTTTTTGGCAAAAATGGGACATGCGGAGTAATGCAGGGTGCTTTTGGGGTCCAGGGAGGGCAAAAGCGTGATGCGTGGAGGGTTCGAGAGGCCAAAAATGGGTCGACCATCTATAAGACACACCAACATTTTCAGCCACTTTTAGGGGGGGGGGAAGTGCGTTGGATACTCTGAAAAATACAGTAAATGCTCAGTTTAAGATTTGCTTATCATTAAGCTATAAAAGAAAGTGTTTGTTTAATGCTACAGAAAAATGCACATTAGAGTTATCTTTTTCTCTATAACTTTTCTCTATCCGGTGGAGCTTTTATCTATATTAGAAATAATTTTAAAAACTGGATTTCAATTGAATTAGGATCTTGTATGCAGAAAATATTACATTGCTAACTTGGCAGTGTCTCAAAGCTATGTATAACTTACTAATATTTTATACCATTTTTGTTAATGCTCTGGGAAAACAATTAACTTGCACAAATCAGAAGAATCGGCTATAACATTAATAAGAAAATTAAGGAAGAGTTCTCCTTAGTAATATTTAGTAGCATTAGATTATCACTGATTATCTACTTGAAGAATCAAATGAAACCTAATCCAGCTTCTAAGAATATCAAAGAATATACTTAGAAAAAAAACTGAAATTGGCAAATTCTACAAATGTATAGTATTAATTTAAAAACCAGCATTCATCTTAATAATTTGGAGAAGGTGGTAGAAAATTTTGTGAATATTTTTCTCTACATTATGTATCCTGATCAGAAATTCTTCTTATTAGGTAATTATGCATTATAACATCTTCTCAGGGAAAGGTTATTTAAATTCAAAATATTTTCTCAAGGATTTTCAATTTATCCACATTAATATAAATTTCCATTTGTGGAACCTATAGTGCAAATATAACAAAATAAGTTTTGAGAAGTTTATCTCTAACATAACTGTATGTTCTACAGTTGTATTTTTGTTCTGTGCTGATGAAAAATATGGGACACTTATCAGGTGCAAAGTATCAGGACGGTCGCTAAAGTTACAGCATAGAACAGTAATGGCTAACCTTTTTGTCTTTGTGTGCCGAAATCGACAGTGTGTGCATGCCCACAATGCAATGCACCCTGCGCATGTGCGCAGCCCCCATGGCCCGTTTTCAGCCTAGCAGGCCTTCCTGAAGTCTTCTGAAACCAAAAAATGGGGAGCAGAGGAAGCACCGTGTTCCCCTTGGCTCCCCGCGCATGCACACGCTAACCTCTACCCATGTACATGCATATGTATCTCCTGCATGCACAGCAGAGACCCCAAAATCAGTTGGGAGGCACGTGTGTGTGCACATGTGTGGTGGTGCTGGGTTGGGTGACGTCTCGCATGCCCACAGAGAGGGCTCCGTGTGGCACATGTGCCATAGGTTCACCATCACAGGCATAGAAGATATATTCAAACCCATATACAAGAATTTGGTCAACTAAAGTTCAACTAAATTGGCACCAGATAAGGGTCAATGGAATTTAGGATGGGCTGGACTTGTCGGAACGCAACAATTCTAAGCTGATGACCCACTTAACTCGGCCACCCAGCTCTGCCTCCTTTTCTCCAACAGATATAGAAACTTGAACCTTGGTTTTTACTTTCATTGCCTTTTTTTTAATAGCCTTGCAGACAAAACATGAAAACACTATAGATTTCACCAAATACTATAGGTTTCACCATAGGTTTCACCAAATACTAAATTAGATAGGAACAATCATTGCTATTCTGGGGAAGAAGCAGTTGCTGTCTGCAATAGAAGAAGAAAAAATATGTAAATGGAGAAAGATACTAAGCTTTTTTTTTCTTTCAAAAATGAAATTAAGAATCTAAGTGATATGAATCAAGAATGGGAAACTGGATCTCTTAAGAATATTTCTCACTGAGTGCCGTGTGGCTTATTCCAAGCGAAGCTGGTGCAGAATTTTGTCAGAAATATACCAATGTACAGAAGAGAAATTGACACAAACTGTATTTTCCTTTCCTTTCCTTGCAAAATGGAAACAAAGAATTACGATGGTTCTTCGTCAGTTTATTTTGCTTTTGATCATTTTTTTGTTTACTATTTTAACATAACTTGTTTGGGATCATAGACATATTTCAAATATCTGCTAATGTATCAGATAAGAGAAATAATGTTGACTAACCTTCGGGCTTTTATAACAAAATGGAAAACTACGTCTGTGTTAATTTGTTTTCAACTGACTGAGGTTTTTTTCCTATATTTTCAGATACGGGCTGAAACCAAATGACCAGATCCTGGCAGAGGAGAAACACAAAGAGCTGTAAGAAATTCAATGTTACTTCTTAAGTTTGATTTTCTATTAATTTAATAGAAAGTATTCTCTTTTCACCATTTATTTATAGCAGCTTTATTTTTCGTTAAAAATAAAACAAAATAATACAAATGTCTTCTTCCTTCCTTCCTTCCTTCTTTCCTTCCTTCCTTCCTTCCTCCCTCCCTCCCTNCTTTGGGAGGTAATTGGCAGCAGGCGGTCTCTCAAGTACCCATGGCCTCCTGGAACCCTCTGCCAGCGAAAATGGAGCTCGGGAGGGCTGCCTGCGGGCCAGTCCTTTGCTGTTTCTAGGGTGGCTCAGTGGGCCAGATCTAAGTATCTCGCGGGCTGCATCCGGCCCCCAGGCCTTAAGTTGGACACCCCTGATCTATGTGAAACCACTGGGTGAAGTCCTCTAATAGTTCAGGATGGGAGCTAAATGTTGATGATACGCAACTTTACATCCTCATCTTTCACATTGTAGGGAGATGCCATTGTGGTCTTATCTCAAGGCCTGGAACAGTGTTTCACCATCTCACCAATGTCAAGATGTGTGACCTTCAACTCCCAGAATACCCCAGCCAGCCATGTTGCAGGCCACAAGACCACAAGTCCAAAAATATGCCAAGCATGCTAGCTGAGGAATTCTGGAAGTTGAAGTAAGACACATCTTGACGTCAGTGAGGTAGAGAAACATTGCCCTGGAGACTTTCAAGATTTGAATGGGACAGACTTTTGAAGTTGAATCCTGACAAGTTGGAAGTGTTATTTGTTCCTTGAAGGTCTTCATCAACACCGTTGATGTGTTCTCTAGATGGGGAGGTACTGTCCTTGGAGGAAATGATTTGCGATCTGAGATCCTTCTAGATTCATAACTCTTGTTGGTAAAACAAATAAGATAGTTTTCGGAGTATAAGATGCACTGGAGTATAAGATGCATCAAGATTTTGAAGAGGCAAATTAAAAACAAAAAAAGATATTGCATTCTGAAGACCTCCCAAAAACGGGCCCATTTTTGGTCAAAAAAAGGACATCCATAGCCTTTAGGAGGCTTGCAGAGTACTCCTTTGGGCTGAGGGGGGGGGCAAAAACGAGCAAAAACATAGTCCATTTTTTGCTCTCTTTTTTGCCCTCCCCAGCCCCCAGGAGCATTCTGGAAGCCTCCTAAAGTCTATGCACAGCCATTTTTGCAAAGGGGTGGGTTTTTGGAGGCCAAAAATGCTGTATTCAGTGTATAAGACACACCCAGATTTTTACCCTCTTTTTTGAGGGAAAAAGGTGCATGTTATACTCCGAAAAATACAGTAGCAACCATGACTAGAAGAATAGCCTCTGCAAAGCTTCTGTTGCAACCATAATATTGGCAGTTGAAAGCATTCACATATATGATTGTCCAGATAGTTATTTATTATAATGTTCCTTTTAAAGAAGGCCAAAGCAGTGCATGAAGTGACAAACAAGGAAAACAAATGTCTACATTTATTTAGCTTATGGTGTTCTTACATTAACCAGCAGTCTACAACAAAACACAGGCTTTTTTTCTTTTTAATAAATTCATAGACATTTCTAAAATTCTGTTTTCACTTTGTACTGAGTGTAGATTAATGAGGGAGAAAAAGGTATTTCAACAACTGTAAGCTGCAGCATAATAAAATTGACAAAAATGAAGGAGGTCTGAATACTTTCTGATTGCACTGTATGTGGCCAAGGGTGTTTCCAAGGTCTATTGCAAGTACTCAGGCAGGTAAAATTAGTGTTCTGGCTTGCTTTCCTGTAATTGCAGTTATATTTTCGTATTTGGTTCTAGGAGCCCCTCTGAAAAGAGATCACATTAATGTGTTCTACCAGTTGTTTTAATTGCACTTTGTTCTCCTATTTTTGCGGTTTTCAATTAGCTTTGGCAGAAAGTGGCATGTTACCAGTTCCTCCTCTTCTTTGGTGCTTTTTCTCCAGCTGAACAACCTGCACACCATTTTTCAAAATGAATCTTTATTCGCATTGGAAGCAATAAGCTACATGATACCACCAGGGGCCTTAATGCAGCAGTCACCAACTGGTGATCCGTTGACCACTGGTGATCTGTAGAAAAATTATTTGCATTTTTTATATTGCACTAAATCAGAGGTCGTCAAACTATGGCCCCTGGGCTGGATACATGCAATGAACATTTCTGTTGCTGCATTATGAGCAGAGAGTCTCCCTCTTCGGGGTCTTTTTGTGCGGGTCGGAGGGCGGCAGAAATTCCGACTTGGAGGGCGGCAGAAATTCCGGCTTCACCTTTCTGGTGAAGAGCTTTGGGTGAAGGCTGGAGGAAAGCGCCACTGGTGGCGAAGAGCCGGAAGACCTTGTTCCTGTAGGACTGCATCATGGCCTGGAATTGGCTGACCATCTCAGCCCAGTGAACCTCCAGGTACCAGTAGCTGGCTTTGCACTCCCACAGGTCTTCCCTCTGCTTGGAAAGCCTATGCTCGTAGTCCTCAGTGAGGTGCTTCTGCTGAGCCTCCTTCTCGGTCAGATCTAATTTGAACTGAGCNGCTATCCATGCCCTTTTTTTTGATGAAAAATGGGCCATTTTTGGGAGGTTTGCAGAGTGCTAAAACTTTTTAAAAAATTTGCCTCTGGTGCATTTTATACTCTGAAAAATACGGTATATTGTTGCCGTAGTTGTATTTGATTGCATACATGTAAATTGTGGTACTTGATGGGTGACTTTTGGAATAAATGTTTGCACTTGTCTTGAGAGTTTATTTCCAAAAACACTTCAAGAAGAAGCCCTGGGATACAGTGACTTCACGTTCTCAGCAGTTAGATGTTTATAGAAGTGAAATAATTGCTTTTTATCAGCTCTGAAATCTTGGTTTTGATTACTTTATTGTAGAAACATTTCCTTGCTCTGTGTATTATGCAGTGCCGCTTAGTTTATGCAAGGGTATATTACCCATGGCAAATGAATGTAAGATGATAATCTCACGGTCAAAATGACATGTATAAATGGTAGAATCAAAGTGATTTTACAGTCTGCCTTCTTTGAACTTTTAAATGTTTCCTGTGTTTTGAATGCTTTCTCTCTTGAATTAAAGTGTCTTCTAAGATCTTTTTATTTCTTTCACTTCCTAGCCTAATCTGCAGAGCTGGGATCTCAGGGTAGTCTCCTATCCCAGCATTCATTAGACTCCTCCCTCTTTAGCTTTTTCAACAATCAACTTCTCTCTCATAGCATCCCCAATATAATGCAAATGATCTCCAAACTGGGATTGGTCATAATGCCCAGAGGTGTTGAAAGTTGGTCAGCATGCAGGTTTTAATAATGACATAAAACATCGTTCATTATTATATATTATAAACACATGATCACCAAAATGATTCAAAATGGTTGAAAAAGTGGTTGAAAATGAGCAGGTTAAATTATTGTGGGATTTCTGAATGCAAGCTGATGAAGACTTGGCCCCAAAGGAAAAATGTGAATAATTTATCTGGCAATACCAGGGAATTTGGCCAACCTCGCAGTTTGAAAGGACATAAAAATGCAAGTAGAAAAATAGGAACCACCTTTGGTGGGAAGGTAACAGCGTTCCATTAGCCTTCAGCATTATTTAGTCAGGCCAGCCACCTGACCACGGAGATGTCTTCAGACGACACTGACTCTTCGGCTTTGAAACAGAGATGAGCACAGCCCCCTAGAGTCAGGAATGACTAGCACATATGAGCGAGGGAAACCTTTACCTTTACTATATCAGTTAATAGCAGAATAGGATTGGAGAAATTCAAAAGAGTATCAAGATCTAAACATTGAAGTTGAAAGCTTATGGGATAAACTGGCCATGGTGGTCCCAGTGATTATCTGGGTACCCTATTCAGGGTACCATTCCAAACAAACTGGACATTGACAAAATTTCCATCTGTCAATTACGAAAGGTCACACTGCTTGGATCCACACGTATAGAAGGCCAATACATTGTGACTTCCTACCTTTTGGAGAAAAATTCAATGAGTATGAAAGCCAACACCAGCTAAAGAACTGGCAGCAAGGATTTCTCATTGTTGTGTACATGATAATAGTAGTAGAATTTGATAGAATCTCCCATCAGAAACTCTGCTGGCATCTTTAAACTTCTGAAAACTTGTACAATATGGCAATTTATATTGAACAGAGGTGGGTTGCTACTGGTTGGCACCAGTTTGGGCGAACCGATAGTGGTATTTTGGCCTTGGTCGCAGAACTGGCAGAGACCCAGGCTGGCCACATCCCCAAACTGGTTCCCCGGTTGCCCCTGCCATTGCTGGTATGTGTTTTAGTATTTTTTTCAGAACAATGTATAAAATTACAAACATTGTATTTTTGCAGAACAATGTGCATGTGCGCGAAGTGGCAGCAGCCCACCCCGATATTGAAAATAATATTGTCTTACAAGGGTACATCAAGGGTATCAAACCTGCTAGAATGGCAGAAGGGTATTAATAAATTTGTATGGGCAGGGAAGAAGCTGAGAGTAAAACTAAAAATAATGCAAGATGTGCGTGAAAGAGGAGGCTTGAAATTACCCTATTTAAAACTATATTATGATGCAGTAGTTCTATCTATAATTAGTGACTGGATTAACTTAACAGATGATAGAATACTTAATATTGAAGGGTATGATTTGGTATATGGTTGGCATGCTTATCTGCTATATAACAAAAAGGTGGATAAGAATTTTAAAAGTCATATTTTAAGGAATGCTCTACTGCGGGTTTGGAAAAAATATCAATACAAATTAAACGATAAGATACCTATATGGGCTATTCCCAGACATGCAATAGAAAACATGAACATAGTACAAAAACAGGATGTAACTACTTACAGACAGCTTCTTACTGCAGAAAGAGGTGTACTACAACTGAAACCCTTGGATGTACTAAAAAAGGAAAAGGTAATTCAAACATGGTTTCAGTATGGGCAGTTACAGGCTAGATGGAAAATAGATAAAAAAATTGGCTTTATGCAAGTCGAGGATAATTTACTTAAACAA